AAATTTGGTGGTTTTTTTGACATTTCGGGCACACAATATTACAATTTAAATAAACAAAATAATATATAATAATAATTCATAATAATAAAATATTATTAATCTGTTGTGAAACAGACCGAGACCACAATACACTACATTACTCCAATATAGATATTGTTTGGGAAAATATTTACACGGATATAGAAATATTTCAATCCAGAAACTAATCACTAAACAGTTGTAACAACCATACATAAAAAAGCGTTTCTATACATGCATTTTTTTTAAAAAAATAATTAAGTCCAAAAAAAAATTTAAGTTGTTTAAGTGCATAGTAAATAAACGTGTGGTGTACGGCATGCAATCCGGACAAAGCCCTCTAAGAGATGGCATGCAATTTAGACATTTTTTTTTTTTTTTGGCATGCAATTCGTATGCAGCCAGGTAGGTACAGCAAATCGTTACAACGACAATAATTACAATGTATTTTATGTATGTCGTATTAACATTACTTGGTAAAAATAAATCGTTTTTACCTGGTCGATAAATTGCAATCAATTCTCGGTATAGTATGATTCAAAACAGGCAATACGACGATGGCGGCTCTAAGGTATCTTAACATTTTTTTAAATCAATAACTTAATATGCAATAATATGCTTAAAATCTTTAAATTTTCAAGTCATGTAAACTCATATATGCGAAAATATGAAACTTACATTTTTGTATGAAGATTGTATGTACTATAAAACGAATTTGTATCAAATCTGGTTTTTTATATGCAGCATTTTATGAAATATGCAAATGCATAAAGTTTCGAGAACTGCTTATTATTGTTATTTATTGCAAATTATAATTTCAAAGTAGATTGTTTTTTATTATGTAAAAATAAATAGGTACATTATTTTAATACCTGCGTCTTATTGAAATATTATCAATATTTTATAATTTAATCAATAGGTACATATAATATTATATGGGTTCATCAGTTAAAAAATAAAAATCATTGAGGGATATGACACCCAAACCCCCCCCCCCCCGCCCCCTCTCAAATTACGCAATTGATGCATTACAGTATTACACATATTATATAATACAAGATTATGCAATCCAAACTTTAGTAAAACTTTATAAATTTTAACATCATTCAAAATACTTAATCTTTTGACAATCTATATGTATATATATAATTAGGTTAAGGTTTGTGTGTGTGTCCTTTATGCATTCCTTAACGGCTGGAATGCTGGATCGATTGCTATTCAATTTGTTACAGAGATTAATTAGACCTATGGTGAGAAGATAGGCTAATTTAAAAATTGTAAATATTAGAGGTCCAACCCAGAAAGGTGCACAAACAGAGACTTTAAAATTAACGTTGGAAATGTTTGTTGTAAATGGTGCTATTGTTTTGATAATAATTATTGTTCTAAAAGCGATACGCCTGTTTAGGATGATGAGTTCAGAACGATGATGCAATCAGAAGGTAAATGTTTCACATCCCCCCCTACCCACCACACAACACACACACATACAACACACACCATTGACAAATTACGCCTCTGAACTACTCCCCACCTGTAATTATCGTAAACGAATTAACATAACAATTTGATACCTATTGGTACAATTTAAATTAATTTTTAAAACTAATCAAATGACAACAATATTAATTATAACGCAATAGTTAAATTTGATTATTGTGTATAAGCTATACTACCTAGTATGTATATTACGTCATCTGTCCAATGACATATAGGAAAGTTCTTTAGTTAAGCCAACATTATACTACACATTATACATGGCTCTGTTTTTGTACTCCATACTCCACTGAGACGTTTGATAACTGTAGTCAGCCCTATTGTCATCCTTAAGACTAGTGTCAAATGTGTGGCTCGTGCTACAGCCTATAAGTATCGGTCAGTTTATAGAGGATAAATAATTAACCCACCAATTGTTGGTTAATTAATCATGATTTACAAGATGACATTTTTAAACTTAAGAACATTAGGATTAATGTTTTTCAAATGTCATTGTAACAATATAGTAGGAGCCTTATATGACATTTTCAACACTTTTTACCCAAAAAATAAAGTTATATGGACATCCATAGAAAAAAAAACTAAAAAAATTTAAAAAAATTCCAAAAATTGGAAGCTAAAGCAGTTAGATTGCCTTATCTGATAATATACTGCTGCGAATTTCACGGACGACGTCAGTCGGGATGGCTATACATAAAAATATAATATCATTTATACTTAAAAAGACGTTGCTTCCACATCACGTGCTACACAAAATCAGAATTTTAAAATCGTTTTTATTGTCCGTGCACAGAACAGAGAGTGGTCACGTGAACATCACTGTAAATAATTTATTATGTTTTTTCACGTTATATTCACTGCTGGATCACTGGTAAAAATCGTTTTACCAATAATCCTTATCTTATTTCAAACGACTGCAGCGTTCGTGATATTAGTTCAGTGACTGTTGTACTCCATATATTAATATGCTAATCATTAGATGAATCTAAAAACAATACATAGTATGAAAAAATACCACGTACATGCCTAAAACTGAACTGAATATCAGTTAAATCATATCTGCAACCTACCAATGATCATACTTTTTTTTTAATGCATAACTATTACTGTAAGATAGAACCTAATAAATACGTTTTTAATTCTCAATTATCTAAATATATTATGTTCATATATTAATATGCTAATCATTAGATGAATCTAAAAACAATACATAGTATGAAAAAATACCACGTACATGCCTAAAACTGAACTGAATATCAGTTAAATCATATTTGCAACCTACCAATGATCATACTTTTTTTTTAATGCATAACTATTACTGTAAGATAGAACCTAATAAATACGTTTTTAATTCTCAATTATCTAAATATATTATGTTCATTGTTCGTAGTGTATCTTTCAATTGTATACAAAATTATTGATGAAATGTGTATTTCTATTTTCAGGTTCAAATAAAATTTCAAATAACTGGCAAAGTGGAGATCATGTTGAATTTTTATTTGGAAAAAATGTTGATAATATTCAAGTAAGAAAAATAAAATCATATGAAAAATTTAAAAATGTTTTGGACCAATTAAAAGGAGAAAATAGTAAGGTTCATTTTCAGTAATATATTATTTCTACAACTAAAAAAAAATATTGAGATAAGCAATTTTCCAACAAAGAAAATAAGTAATTTAGTAAACTAATACTTAAGTGCTTAATAGCAGGGGCTATAACAATTAAACTAATGGTTTAGAAATAGGACCTACTTAATATTTTGTTTATTTTTTGATATTGACAATTTTGGAGTAAGTAGATGTGTAATAATTTAAGTAAACATTAATCCAAACTGGTGTAACTTTGTTCAGATCTAAGATTGGCTTTGAACCATATATTAGACACTTAATTATAAAATAAAAATTGTACTGTTTTTAATAGTTGTTTTATTTAGTAGTCATATAAACTACTCGTAAATATTAAACTGAACTTGTTTTGATGCGTATAGTGTATAGTGTATAGTGTATACTAACATTTATTTTTATAGGTGAACATTACAAACCAACTGGCGATTTTGTGGCAGTATATTCTACAAAGAATAAAGGAGGGGTTTATAGAGCTAGGGTCTTGATGCCAGATTCTAAAAATCCCAATATGGTTAAATGTAACTTAATTGATTTCGGGGAAACTTATTTGATTCCATCTAAAAATATATTCATATGGCAAACTATGTTTCATTAAGCAAAGTTAGTAGAAAATATAATTATACTAATACTTAGTAAAATTAATTATTCATATGGCTAGATAATTTAATGTAACTATCACAATGATAATTTTTTAGATACCAACAATGATTTGTCGAGTACATCTTACCGGTTTACACAAGAAATACAATTCAAAATAAAACCATATCTATCTTCATTGAAAGGAAAAACAAATGCTATGGTATGTTTATTTTATGTGTATACCAGTACAATATTTTTAATAATTTAAATATATATTTTGTATTCATAGGAATATTTTAAAAAAACCTGGACCATGGAATAAACAAGAAGTTGTATTAAAAGAATTACAAAGCAGTGTGTCGCTTAATCATAATCCAAAAGTTATTCTATAATGAATCTTCTCCTAGAGGGACTATTCTTCAACAATGAAGATTGAAAAGAAGTATTAAGTACTAATAATTTATTAATAATAAAGTAGTACCTATGTTTAACGAATCACGGACGATTACGTCTTAATTGTATTATGAATTTGTATTATTTCATGGGAACAACATTTTTATTTTTAAAGTGCCACTTTTTGAGAAATACTGATATCCAGTGGCGTGGTAAAAGGGGTCTAGAGGAGCAACCGCTCCTCCAAATTTTGGGTGGGTGGGTGTATGGGTATTAATTTTTATCATACATAGGTACATAATATACTATAGAATTAATGAAGTACTAATGTAAAAAAAAAGGTGGCAATAGTGGGTACCGCTCTACCGTTCATTATATGTCGAAAGGTAATTTTAATGAATATTGTGTTAAGTTTCAATTCAATGATATAAAATCATTGTACAAGAAAACCGAAACTGAACGAAGAGTGAAGACCGCCTATAAGTATTAGTATAAGTATATTTTATAATATTGCTATTAAAGTAATTTATACTGACAAGTGACAGTACGTTAAATTTACTTTGTCGAAAAACATTCATTTGTTATACTTTAAAAGTTTTATGTACCTACAAATAATATTTTTAAATTACAAAAAAATAACTAAAAACATTATTTTTCGTTTATGTAGGTACATATCTAATTTTGTTTAAAATATTTATAAAAAAAACTGTGTGTGAATATATTTTAAAGATTTGGGTTACAATATCAATTACTTATGAATAACTATGATTTAATTTTTCAATCTTTAACTAAAAAAAATTATCATTTTATACATTTTTTAATTTTTACTACAATATAATTACAAATTTCGACATTTTATTTTCATCACTTACATTTGAAAATGTTTTATTAATTTCTAACTGAAAAGTAATTTGCAAATTTTCGAGACTGAACATATTCCATTAAGTCTGGCAAATGTTTATTCCGATTTTCTTTATCATACTTGATCCATTTCATTACAGATTCATATACCTATTAATAATTTGAACATTATTTATTGTTGTCATAACTATGTAATTATTTATTGATCTATTATATAAAATTTTATACATCATGTTTACTACAATCACACAATTTAAAAATTTAAATAAAGGAAAATGTTCAGTTAAAATACACAATAATAAAATAATGTACTTACGTTTTCTTCATTTGCACACAGATCTTCACTTTTAATGATTTGTAATATTTGATCAAAAGTAATCAGCAGAAATTCTTCTTTTTTGTATACTTGACTGTAAAATGATTGTAGATAAAGAAGTTTATAGATAATGCTGTACATTTATAAGAAAAGTTTATAAAATATTTTTAAATACTTGTGAAGACGTAAGTAACAGTAATTAAAAATTTAAAAATTAAGTTAGAACTAAATAAAATCCAAAACAACATGAAGGTTATTGAGTTGAAATTGAAAAGTCCAAAGCAAAAAATTTACAGTACCTTTCTTAATTATTCAAGAAAAATAAATTATAGGGAAAATGTGAACTTTTATTTAATGGTACTAGTTTTTGAAAACATTGATTTTGTTATTTTTCTGTAATTCAAAAACAAATAATCATAAATAGTTTGGAACTTCAATAAATATTTAAATTTGCAATTGGATTTTGCATATGGAATAATTTTCAAAATATGTTGACTATTTTTGAGCTATTTATTGAAATTTAAAATGTTTTTCTATCAAGTTATGAGTTGTAGCAGTCTTAACCTTAGGTATGAAATATTGATAAAAAAATTTATGCTAGGTTAAAAAGCTTGAAAATGTAATACATGGTTTCTCATAAATTATTAAGAAAATAAAATAAAAGTTGAGAGTAAATCTACAGTCATTTTGTGGGTTTTGAAGGTTGAATTTTAACAAAATTTTTCAAAATAGCGAAAATTTGCTAATTTTATAGTAGTTAAAATTTAATATCATTTTAGACTGAGCGGAGTATCGACTTTACAATGGGGTATGTGTGTGTTTTTTCTTATGAAAAATGTTTGAAACATTCTACTGTTACTTCAATTAACATTTTCTATACTCAATGTTAATTTCAAATTATTTAGACTAAATTTGAGTGTTGACAAAGGATTTAAAAAGTTGAATATTTAGTACACTTACCTAAAGTGAACTAAAGCATATCTTAAAGAGAACGTAATAAAAATCCTCTTAATCCACGGCGTTCAGCCATTTCTTTCATACCTAAACAATTGGCGGGATCAATTCTTGATTTAATATAATCATATTGCATTCACTGCGAATTGTTTCGTCCCAGTTGTAAAAAACAGATTCCATTTAAAGTTCCTAAAAAGACGTTTGAAAAAAAAAAACAATGTATATTAAATTATATTTATAAATTAAAAGTTAAATATTAATTTACTTGGACATTTTGTACATTTACAGCTAACTCAGATGTATAAATAAAGTCTATTAACAAACTCAATGCATGTGGATCTAAATCCTGAATCTCGATTTCAAATTCTTTGGATTCTTTAAATTGACTATTAAACATAATATTAAAATATTTGCTGTTGGCTGCCAAAACAACTTTATGAGCCCTTATTTCTTTACCATTTTGGCAATGATTTTTATATCAATAATTGTTCATTCCTACAAGTTTGAAAAATGTAATTAGTAAAATCAAAAAACACATATGAATATATTTATTATTATAAAATTAAGTATAAAAAATTACTTTCTCATTTTATCAAAATTCTTGTAATATAAACCGTTTGGAATTTTTAGTATTACATTAGTTTCTACTTCTTCATTGGCATTTGGTGTATTTTGTAAGTCTTGAGAAGAAAGTCTAAAACCATGGTAAAATAACCAATAGTAAAAAATCAAAATAATTAAGTTTTTGTAGTGTTAATAATTTTGATGAAATATACTTGGTAAACATGATATTAACAGATAGCTAGAAAGGTAATATATAATTATTATTTATCTATTTTCTTCGCATCAAAAATCTTATAATTATTTTAATACCCTCATCATAACAAAATAATATATCTATATATATATATATATATATTATTAACTACCTATATATTTTAAATATTTGTTTTAATTTTCTATGTACTAAAATAATAACTATACAAACTTGTAATAACATGTTGTATGTTGACACATTTTAAATATAATAATAACTCATAGAAGCAAATGTAGGTACCTAAAATTGATTTATAAACCTTCATACAGTTAAAACAAGTCTGATAAATTGTGAGTATAACTATAATCAAGAGGTACAACTAAAACACATGAAGGGCTGTTCTTACTATGTCTGGTAAAGTGTCGGTTAACGCTATCCGACTGACAACAGATTTTATTACCTGCAGAATTAGGCCGGTTAAGTGGTCGGTTAACTTTAACCGGAAGTTTTAAGAACCGGCCCTAAGATCCACTTATAATATTATTGACTATAATATTATAAACTCTGCAACTGTTTTTGCAACCGACATTTTACCTTATTCTTCTTGATTCCGGAGTGGCCATTGTTTTTTTCTATGTTCGTCTTGTACGACAGTAATTATTGTTTTCAACACGGCAGAAGGAAGTGTTTCATAGCAATTTATTGCAGTGGATGGAATCGAAATCGAAAACGCTTCTGTCGACTAGTGTTGTTGGAGCGGAATGAATGAATCTCATAGTAAACAGTGAATGGTACTATCGTGGATGAGTAGGTATATAATACTATATTGTTAAAATAAATATTGTTCAGACTAGGGTTTTCAAAGTAGGTTTTAGCCGTAATGACCGTATTCCTGTATTCGTTAATTTATAATGTCTAACAACGAGAACAACAACAAAAATGTTGTTGTCTGCCTAAAATCAGTGTTGCCATAAAATAAAACCTAAAATATTGCAAATACCATATTAACAAAAAAAGTTAGTTTATGCTATTTATTTTTTCCCCTTCCAAATATGCCAGAAGAAGCTAAAAAGAGAAAAAATGCACATACAGCTCAGTGTTATAATTTACGAATCAAAAAAAATATGATTAAGTACAAATTATATAATTTGTTAGACAATTGGCACCGTTATAGAAATAGTTGAAATTACCATTTGCATGCAATTAAAATAATTAAAAACAGATATAATAATTATAAAATACTGTTCATTTTTTATTAGATAAATAAATAATAATGCAGTCAGTCTATCTTGACTAATTTCAAAACGAAATTATTCAAATATCAAATAATGAACAATCAATTGCCAAAATCAGAAATGTGATAGCAGAAATACCTATATGTGATATCAGTGGTTTTTGGAAACAAAAAAAAAATATTCTGAAACGCTTTAAAAACATTATAAATAATGCTATATTTAATGCAACCTGCATACTGACATTTTTGAAAGCTAGATTACACCTGAAAAATGTTAGAACTAGCTGTAAAATAGCTAGTATGTTAACCACTGCCTAAATATAAAGTTTATTTAGACACGTTTGTTGTGATGATTATGTGATTACAGTGATTACACATTTCCACTTTGCTCCACTGAACTATATATTATTATATAGTTGTTCAGTGCTGTGCTCACTGCTTAGATAAGATAAAAACTATAGCTGATATTATCATGACAAATTTGTCGGCTGCCTACGAGTTGATTCCCGGGTCATTATATATTATTTTCAATATTTAGTCAAATATTCAGCCTATTAGCCTAACCCCAGAAACACCACTAGGAGGTTGGCACTTGGCTGACAAGTTTCTCAAAAATGTTGTTCTTTTTCATATTTTGAAAATCATTAAGTTTTTTGCTAAAAAAATTAAGTAGGTAAAAAATTATAATTAAAAAATTTAGTAATCAGGTAAAAATTATTACTAAAAAAATTTAGTAATTTGGTAAAAATGTATAACACATTTTTTTAAGAAAATGGTATCTGGTAATGAGATTACCAATATACCGTGTGACATATGCAATTCCCATTAATATTTTGTAGGTACCTACATGATAAATTATAATAGCAAAGACTTAATGATAATATTATTATACCTACAACACAAAATATAAAATATAAAATAATATATTTTGTTCACACCTTCATAATTTAGAAACCATTACCTTATATGATGGTCATATGCCTATCGCCTATGTATATGTGCCTATGTTATAAATTATAATACAATATTGCTATATGCATTATTAGTATTGCATTTAATGATGAAAGGTTTGATAGTATATATATGTATTAATTATGGTAAAAATAAAAAGTTTAAGTACCCAACTAATGGCAATTGCTAATTATTATGTGTAATAAGAATTTACAGGATCATCTATTATAGTGTAATATATAGAGCCTATTATCTCAATATTATTCAAACGGTGCTTGATACCCATTACAATTTTCTAAAACTAGAATATTTTAAATGTAAACAAGTGACTTGTTTGCCGTTTGAGTATGTATTGGTATAGGCAGCAGATATAAAATTACCTTAAAAGTAAATACTGACCTATATTGTTATTTGCTCTTTGCTTATATAATATACAAAGTGGGTTATTAAAAAAAAAAATGTTAAAAACGTAATCAAGATTAATTTTAACATTCAATAATAATTGTGTTCGTTTATATTTAATAAATTACCAAATATGTAAACAGTAATTCAATATTAGTTATTTTTATATTTATTAAAATGCTTTAAATACTTTTTTTATAATATTTATTAAAGTGTTAATACATTTTTTAATTTAAAACAAATATTCATTAAATTAGTTTCATTGAAAGATACTGCTGTGAGGGATACAAAATTGAAAAATTAATGAATATCAAAATTCGTAATTAAATTTTTTAAATATAATACATTATTACTAATAGATATTATATCTATTCAATCTTCTCTGCTGAATAGAATTCCATCTAGGAGATGATTTTCATTTTAAAATAACTTTTGGATTTCATTATTAAGAGACACACCGCTTTGTAATTCTTTTAATACGACTTCTTGCTTATTTCATTGTCCAGGTTTTTTATCGTATTCCTATGAATACAAAATATAGTTTTTAACCATTCAAAATATTGTGATGATAAACTCATAAAGTAAACATACCATTACATAATTTTTTCCTTTCAATGAATTTAGATATGGGATTATCTTATAATTTGAGATCTTGGATAAACCAATAAATGAAACTTTACGAACGATTGTTAGTATCAATAAAAAATATCATTGAAATAATTACAATAAGTCCGGTTAGCCATTTGAATAATTAATCTTATTAAGTATTAGTATAATAATATTTTCTACTCACTTTGTTTAATAAAACATAGTCAGACAATGAAAATACAAATTTAGATGGAA